AGAGAGGGGAATGGGGAAGGGGAGGGGATAAAGGAGAGAGGGGAATGGGAAAGGGGAGAGGATAAAGGAGAGAGGGAATGGGGAAGGGGAGGGGATAGAGAGAGGGCATCAGGAAGGGGAGGGTGTTAGTGGGGGAGGGAGAGGGGAGGGTGTTAGTGGGGGAGGGAGTGAGGGGGAGGGTGTTGGTTGGGGAGGTAAAGGAGGTGTAGAAGGAGGGGGGAAGGGGAGGTGGAGTTTGGAGGGTGTTTGAAGAGGAGGGGGAGGAGGTGAGGACTTAGGAGGGAGGGGAATTGAGTGGCCTGTGATCACTAACTAACCGCAGTGTCTTTGCCCCCAGGGTCTGTTTGAGTATTTAACCCGGATGATGAAGAGGGGCTATCATGATGCTGAGCAGAGGAACAATGTCAACCAGACAAATTACATAAAACGGAGAGCACCGTCTGTGCAGAAGGCCAGTCAGAACACAGTGTAGCACTCACACTGTCCCCCTGGGATTGGGGGGGGTTAGGGGGGACAGTCAGAACACAGTGTAGCACTCACACCATTCCCCGAGTGGGGGAGTGGGGGGAACACTGTCCCCGGGAGGAGCAGTCAGAACATAACTAGTACACATTGACCACTCACTGCTCTTGTTGCTGCTGTGGGATCATCCTGTGCGACAGTTCCCCTGCAGGGGACGGTGACCCATTCTTTCTTTATTCATTTACAGGATGAGGGTGTTGCTGGCCAGGCAGCATTTATTGCCCATCCCTAATTGCCCAGAGCGCAGTTAAGAGTCAACCAAATTGCTGTGGGTCTGGAGTCACATGTAGGCCAGACCAGGTAAGGATGGCAGTTTCCTTCCCTAAAGGGACATTTGTGGACAAGGGGCCAGTCTGGGGTCATGAGTTCAAATCCCAGCAAGGTGATTAAAATTTAAACTGGAATCGCGATCCCCCTGCAGTGATTGTGATGTGATTTTTATATTGCTATAGGAAGCTGGGATCAGGGAGGAAACCAACTGCTTTTACCTAGTCTGGCATACATGTGACTCCAGCCCACACCAATGGGGCTCACCCTTAACCACCCCATCAAGCCATAGAATACCTACAGTGCAGAAAGAGGCCTTTCGGCTTATCAAGTATGCACCAATCCTCTTAATAGTGTACCACCCTGCCTATCCCTGTAACCCTGCACCTCCCATGGCTAATCCTACCAGCCTGCACATCTCTGAACACTATGGGGCAATTTCCCATGGCCAATCCACCCCAATCTACACATCTTTGGGACTGTGGGAGGAAACCGGAGCACCCGGAGGAAACCCACGCAGACACAGGGAGAATGTGCAAACTCCACACAGACAGTTGCCTGAGGGTGGAATTGAACCCGGGTCCCTGGCGCTGGGAGGCAGCAGTGCTAACCACTGAGCCACTGTGCCACCCTAAACCATTCCATTCAGGGGCAATTAGGGATGGGTGAAAGAGTCTGGCGTCACTAGTGACACCCACATCCCACAAAAGAATCCTTTTAAAGATTTACTGAATCGGAGACAGATGGTGGATGAGCTAGGCTGGCAGCCCCTTTCTGTGGGATTTCTGAAGGAAAAACTACTCCCTCTTCGATTGTAGCATTAAAGCCAATTCTCTTTGTCTGTTATTTTGCATGAAGTGACGTGAAATGGACAAATAAAATGATCATTTCTCCACAAAGCATTGAGGATCCAGTCAATGTGTATAGAAATTGGGAAGGGCACACGGCTGTAAGCTGGGATTGGTATTTTATTGTGTGAACCTTCTCAATGTTCGTCAGTACAACAAGGATCACAATTCCAACCGATTGAGCGTGGAGCCTGATAGGAACAGGAGCGGGCCATTTAGCCCCTCAGCCTGTTTGACATTCCGTGAAACCACGGTTGATCTCTGGTCTAACTTCATACACCTGCTTCTGGCCCATTTCTGTTAACACCTTTGCTGAACAAAAATGTTTCTATGATTTAAAACTAACAACTGATCCATCATCCAATGCTGCTTGTGGAAGAGAGTTCGAAACTTCTCCCTCCCTTAGTGTGTGGAAGTGCTTCCTAACATCTCTCCGGAACGGTCTGGCCCTAATTCTCAGACTATCTCCCTTAGTTCTAGAGTCCCCAACCAATGGAAATAGTTGATACAGCACAGAAACAGACCCTTCAGTCCAGCTAGTCCATTCCGACCATGTTTCCCAAACTAAATCAGTTCCATTTGCCTGTTAAAAACCGAAAGAGCTGCAGAGGCTGTAATCAGGGACAAAAACAAAGTTGCTGGCACAGCTCAGCAGGTCTGGCAGCATCGCTGAAGAGAAATCAGAGCTATCATTGCTGGTTCAATGAAGAAAAGTCACCAGACCCAAAATGTTAACTCTTGTTTCTCTTCACAGATGCTGCCAGATCTGCTAAGCTTTGCCAGCAACTTCTGTTTTTGTTTCCGTTTGCCTGTGTTTGGCCCATATCAGGGGATTATTGAATCCGTACAGTGTGTAAGCAGACCATTCAGCCCATCAGGCCCACGTCGACCTTCCTGTCCAGATCCACAAATCTACCCTATCCCTGTAACCCTATATTTCCCATAGCTAATCCCTCTAGCCTTCACATCCCTGGGCACAATGGGACAATTTCCCATGGCCAATCCACCCTAACCAGCATATCTTTGGACTGTGGGAGGAAACCAGAGCACCCGGAGGAAACCCACACAGACACGGGGAGAACGTGCAAACTCCACATAGACAGTCGCCCGAGGGTGGAATCAAACCTGCATCCCTGGCCCTGAGAGGCAGCAGTGCTAACCACTGAGCCACTGTGCCACCCTGCTAAACCTTTCTGATTCATGTACCTATCCTGCACATCTTTCAAACAATGTAACTGTACTGTCATCCACCGCTTCCTCCGGCAGCTCATTCCAAACGTTGGCCCCGAGGTCCCTTTTAAATCTTTCTCCTCTCACTGGTTTTGAATTTCCCACCCTGGGGAAAAGGCCTTTGCTATTCACCCTAACCATGCCCCTCATGGTTTTATAAACCCCTATAAGTTCAGCCCTCAACCTCCTACGCTCCAGGGAAAGAACTCCCAGCTTATGTAACCTCTCCCTATAACTCAAACCTTCCACTTAGGGTTAGCATTAGTTATTACTTCCAGTTATGTACCCATCCTGTCCTCTTAGGCTCATTGGGTGACAGGAAGCAGGGTTGGAGGTGCTTCATGTTGAGTATAGAGCAGTTGGACTTGGAGAGATTGTAAGGCTGTTTTTAGATAGATGAGGTTACCCTTTTACCTTTTGGACTGAATTCAGCAGGCGGCATTGCTAGTATTGAGATCAGGTTTAAATATGTATGCATTGTGTCACTCAGTACCAACGTAACTGTGCCTATAGAACCATGAATTCTGCAGTTATACATCATTCAACAAAGATTACAAAAAGGCATATTGCCTAAAGAGGTAAGAAGTTGCTGGCCAGGGACTAATTGTAAGTGCCAAGTGTTTCAGTGGGGACATTTTTATGGCTGGAGGTAACAAGGTGTAGAGCTGGATGAACACAGCAGGCCAAGCAGCATCAGAGGAGCAGGAAGGCTGACGTTTCGGGCCTAGACCCTTGGAGAGTCAGGTTTTGTGCAACACTGCTCTGGCCTGAGCAGACTCCTAGCTGAGAGGCGTGGCAACTCAAATTAAAAACAAAGATTTTAAGCCTAAAGTGAGAATCTTTTCAAATACCTGGGAACCAGGAAGCAAACAGGACACAGAACAGTAACAAACACCATCTATGTTTTTACATAAGGGCCCGGTAGGTAGAGAGAAAGTCCTTCCTCGGGCAAGTTCAGACAAAAGACTGCAGTGTTGTGAAATGAAGATGGTAGACGTCCGGTCCACAAACTACACCAAGGACCAGGCAATGACCATCTTGCACGAGAGAAGATCTAACCATTGCCCCTTGTGGCAGTGGTTATTACCATCACTGATACCCCCATTATCAACATGGGGCTTACCATTGACTGAAATGGTCATATAAATATTATGACTGTAAGAACTGATCAGAAGCTGGGAATTCTGCAGCGAGTAACTCCCCTCCTGACTCCCCAAAGCCTGTCCCACCATCTACAAGGCACAAGCCAGGAGTGGGATGGAATACTCCCCACTTGCCCTGGATGGGGGCAGCCCCAACAACACTCAAGAAGCTCCACACCATCCAGGACAAAGCAGCCCCTGCTTGATTGGCACCACATCCACAAACATCCCACTCCCTCCCCTACTGACGCTCAGTCACAGCAGTGTGTACCATCTACAAGATGCACTGCAGAAACGCACCAAAGATCCTCAGACAGCACCTTCCAAACCCACAGCCACCTCCATCTAGAAGGACAAGGGGCAGCAGATACATGGGAACATCACCCCCTGCAAGTTCCCCTCCGAGCCACTCACCATCCTGACTTGGAAATATATCGCCGTTCCTTCAGTGTCGCTGGGATAAAATCCTGGAAGTCCCTCCCTCAGGGCAGTGTGGGGCAATCCACAGCACATGGACTTCATGAAGGCCAGGTCACCCCCACCCTCTCAAGGGGCAATATGAGACGGGCAATAAATGCCAACAACACAGCCAAGAATAAATAAAGCAAAGTTGTGTTGGGTTTTGAGGAGATTGCATCTGGTATATTGTGTGCAGTAATGGTCTCCTTAATCAGCTGAAGAATCTAGAACTGTGTGGCAGCCTGAAAATAAGGGAAGATCATTTTGAACTGAGATGAGGAGAAATATCTTCATTTCAAAGTTTGAGAATTGTTGGAGGTCCTCTGATCCAGGAAGATGGGGATGCTTAAGAGTTCAGTGGTCAATAGATAAAACAAAGAAGTGCGGAGGCTGGAAATCTGAAACAAAAACAGAAATTGCTGGAGAAACTCAGCAGGTCTGCCAACATCTGTGGGAAGGAAGCAGAGTTAACATTTCAAGTCCAGTGAAGAGTCCAATGAACAATGACTCTGATTTCTTTCCACAGAGGCTGCCAGACCTGCTGAGTTTCTCCAGCAATTTCTATGTCTGTTTTAGAGGTCAGTGGAGTTTGGACTCTGATAGAGTCAAAGAACTTGGGGCACGATCTCATGGTAATGGTAAGTTGTACATCTCACCTAAAAGCCAGAACTCCTGATAGCACAGCGCTCCTTCAGTACCTTAGTGGGGAAATCAGCCTGGATTATGTACCATCATTCACACAAGGAGCCTGTTAACATTTTAGACCCATCAAGCCATCATTTTAACTTGGAAGATATACATTATAAGTGGAAGAAGAAAGCTAGATTTTCTGCTTTGTAACTATTTCACTGGAAATGTTCTGAGCAGTAAAAGTACAGCTGCAAATGGTACAACTACATAACAGGAAATAACCTCCTTGAGACCACTCTAACAGGAAAAATTGAGTAAAGATGAATTAACTGAACTAAATAATTATGAGCAATTTAACTCATTATCTATGATCCTGCTTTCTAGTGTTAAATGCATTGCAAGGCGGTCTTGGTAAACCACAAAGTGTTTAGAATTGACAAATCCAACTTTGGAAATTGGCAAATGTACACAATCTAATTAAGACAGCTAAGGTGATTCATTTTTCTTGTGCAGGATAACCAGATGCCCTGGATATCTTCTCCCTAGTCCCAGGTTATCTCAGTAGGAATGGTGCTGCTGGTATTCTTGGCATTAAGCACCGTGTACGCACTCATTCCCACCAGTTTGCAAGTCCTCTCCTCTCCCTTTCATTCCCCAATCAGATACAAACTTGTCCCTTAATTTATTCCCCAAGAGCTGGTCGCCCTGTTTGAGTTGTTTTTGTTAGGTGGAAGCAGGCGGATAAAGTTAAGCTGCACATCACCCATGACTCAGGAGCAAGTCAGAGCAGTGTTAAGGATTTCATGGCTCTCCCTCCCAACCTTCTGATCCTGCTGCCTCATTATAGCTAAGGTAACAAGGTGTACAGCTGGACGAACACAGCAAGCCAAGCAGCATCAGAGAAGCAGGAAGGCTAACGTTTCAGGTCTAGACAAGGGTCCAGCATCTGCAGTTCCTACTATCTCTGCTTCATTATAACTGTTTGCTTTGTTAAGGACAGAACTCCTGACAAATCCAAGCATTCAATTTTCTAAATGAGAAAGTTCCTTCTGCTTTCAGAGATTTCTGTAAAGGAGATTACACAAGGCAATTGGTGTGAACATCATAGCAAGTGTAACACACAGAGGCCAGTGATTTCACCCC